CTGCCCTCTGAGGGAGGGGTGGAAGTGGGAAGTACAGTGCGTGCAGTCTAAGGGAGGGGTGGAAGAGGGAAGTGCAGTTCCTGCACTGCGAGGGAGGGGTGGAAGAGGAAAGTACAGTGCCTGCACTGTGAGGGAGGGGTGGAAGAGGGAAGTAGAGTGCCTGCACTCTGAGGGACGGGTGGAAGACGGAAGTACAGTGCCTGGATTGTTAGGGAAGGGTGGAAGAGTGAAGTACAGTGCCTTCACTCTAAGGGATCTGTGGAAGAGTTAAGTACAGTGCGTGCAGTCTAAGGGAGGGGTGGAAGAGGAAAGTACAGTGCCTGCACTCTGGGGGAGGGGTGGTAGAGGGAAGTACAGTGCCTGCACTCTGAGAGAGAAGTTGAAGAGGGAAATACAGTTCCTGCACTCTGAGGGAGTGGTGGAAGAGGGTAGTACAGTTCCTGCACTCTGAGGGAGCGGTGGAAGAGGGTAGTACAGTTCCTGCACTCTGAGGGACGGGTTGAAGAGGGAAGTACACTGCCTGCTCTCTGAGGGAGGGGAGGAAGAGGGCAGTACAGTTCCTGCACTCTGAGGGAGGGGAGGAAGAGGGTAGTACAGTTCCTGCACTCTGAGGGAGGGGAGGAAGAGGGCAGTACAGTCAAAGTGTGAGATTCAGACAGATAGAAAAATAGAAGAGGGAAGAGAGAAAAAAAGAGAAAAGCAGTAAAGAGAAGAGAGGACAAGAGATATTAATAGAAATTGATTGTATCACATCTTTGAACCAGAAATGTATTATTATAGTTCCTTGATTCATACATAAATAGAGGCTTGTGAAAACCATCTGATATGTTTATTTCATCATCAGATCTCAGTGACCTGAGACTGCTGGGTGGAAAACTTACTGGGACCTGAGACTGCTGGGTGGAAAACTTACTGGGACCTGAGACTGCGGGGTGGAATACTTACTGGGCCCTAGACTGCTGGGTGGAAAAAATTACTGGGACCTGAGACTGCTGGGTGGAATACTTACTGGGACCTGAGACTGCTGGGTGGAATACTTACTGGGACCTGAGACTGCTGGGTGGAATACTTACTGGGACCTGAGACTGCCGGGTGGAAACTTACTGGGACCTGAGACTGCGGGGGGAAAATACTTACTGTGACCTGAGACTCCCGGGTGGAATACTTACTGGGACCTGAGACTGCTGGGTGGAATACTTACTGGGACCTGAGACTGCTGGGTGGAATACTTACTGGGACCTGAGACTGCGGGGGGAAAAATACTTACTGGGACCTGAGACTGCTGGGGAATACTTACTGGGACCTGAGATGCTGGGTGGAATACTTACTGGGACCTGAGACTGCTGGGTGGGAATACTTACTGGGACCTGAGACTGCTGGGTGGAATACTTACTGGGCCCTGAGACTGCTGGGTGGAATATTTTACTGGGACCTGAGACTGCTGTGGAATACTTACTGGGACCTGAGACTGCTGGGTGGAATACTTACTGGGACCTGAGACTGCTGGGTGGAATACTTACGGGGACCTGAGACTGCTGGGTGGAATACTTACTGGGACCTGAGACTGCTGGGTTGGATTTACTTACTGGGACCTGAGAGTGGGTGGAATACTTACTGGGACCTGAGACTGCTGGGGTGGAGTACTTACTGGGACCTGGACTGCTGGGTGGAATACTTACTGGGACCTGAGACTGCTGGGGAATACTTACTGGGACCTGAGACTGCTGGGTGGAATACTTACGGGGAACCTGAGACTGCTGGGTGGAATACTTACTGGGACCTGAGACTGCTGGGTGGAATACTTACTGGGACCTGAGACTGCTGGGTGGAATATTTAAACTGGGACCTGAGACTGCTGGGTGGAATACTTACTGGGACCTGAGACTGCTGGGTGGAATACTTACTGGGACCTGAGACTGCTGGGTGGAATACTTACTGGGACCTGAGACTGCTGGGTGGAATACTTACTGGGCCCTGAGACTGCTGGGGGGAATACTTACTGGACCTGGGGACTGCTGGGTGGAATACTTACTGGGACCTGAGACTGCTGGGTGGAATACTTACTGGGACCTGAGACTGCGGGGTGGAATACTTACTGGGACCGAGACTGCTGGGGGGAATACTTACTGGGACCTGAGACTGCTGGGTGGAATACTTACTGGGAACCTGAGACTGCTGGGTGGAATACTTACTGGGACCTGAGACTACTGGGTGGAATACTTACTGGGACCTGAGAATTGCTGGGTGGAATACTTACTGGGACCTGAGACTGCTGGGTGGAATATTTACTGGACCTGAGACTGCTGGGTGGAATACTTACTGGGACCTGAGACTGCGGGTGGAATACTTACTGGGACCTGAGACTGCTGGGTGGAATACTTACTGTGACCTGAGATGCTGGGGGGAAATTTACTTACTGTGACTGAGATTTGCGGGGTGGAATACTTACTGTGACCTGAGACTGCGGGGTGGAATACTTACTGTGACCTGAGACTGCTGGGGGGAATACTTACTGGGACCTGAGATGCTGGGTGGAATACTTACTGGGACCTGGACTGCTGGGTGGAATACTTACGGGGACCTGAGACTGCTGGGGGAATACTTACTGGGACCTGAGACTGCGGGGTGGAATACTTACTGGGACCTGAGACTGCTGGGTGGGAATACTTACTGGGGCCCTGAGACTGCTGGGTGGAATACTTACTGGGACCTGAGACGCTGGGTGGAATACTTACTGGGACTGAGACTGCTGGGTGGAATACTTACTGGGACCTGAGACTGCTGGGGGGAATACTTACGGGACCTGAGACTGCTGGGTGGAATACTTACTGGGACCTGAGACTGCTGGGTGGATATTTTTACTGGAACCTGAGACTGCTGGGTGGAATACTTACTGTGACCTGAGACTGCTGGGGGAATACTTACTGGGCCCTTTGAGACTGCTGGGTGGAATACTTACTGTGACCTGAGACTGCTGGGTGGAATACTTACTGGACCTGAGACTGTGGGTGGAATACTTACTGGACCTGAGACTGCTGGGGGGAATACTTACTGGACCTGAGACTGCTGGGTTTGAATACTTACTGGGACCTGAGACTGCTGGGTGGAATACTTACTGGGACCTGAGACTGCTGGGTGGAATACTTACTGGGACCTGAGACTGCTGGGTGGAATACTTACTGGGACCTGAGACTGCTGGGTGGAATACTTACTGGGACCTGAGACTGCTGGGTGGAATACTTACGGGGACCTGAGACTGCTGGGTGGAATACTTACGGGGGACCTGAGACTGCTGGGTGGAATACTTACGGGGACCTGAGACTGCTGGGGGGAATACTTACTGGACCTGAGACTGCGGGGTGGAATACTTACTGGGCCCTGAGACTGCCGGGTGGAATATTACTGGACCTGAGACTGCTGGGTGGAATACAAACTGGACCTGAGACTGCCGGGTGGAATACTTACTGGGACCTGAGACTGCTGGGTGGAAAACTTACTGTGACCTGAGACTGCGGGTGGAATACTTACTGGGACCTGAACTGCTGGGTGGAATACTTACTGTGACCTGAGACTGCTGGGTGGAATACTTACTGTGACCTGAGACTGCTGGGTGGAAAAACTTACTGGTGACCTGAGACTGCTGGGTGGAATACTTACTGTGACCTGAGACTGCGGGGGGAATACTTACTGGGACCTGAGACTGCTGGGTGGAATACTTACTGGGACCTGAGACTGCTGGGTGGAAACTTACTGGGACCTGAGACTGCTGGGTGGAATACTTACTGGGACCTGAGACTGCTGGGGGGAAAATACTTACTGGGACCTGAGACTGTGGGTGGAAATACTTAACTGGGACCTGAGACTGCTGGGTGGAATAATTACTGGGAAACCTGAGACTGATGGGTGGAATACTTACTGGACCTGAGACTGCTGGGTGGAATACTTACTGGGACCTGAGATGCTGGTGGAATACTTACTGGGACCTGAGACTCTGGGTGGAATACTTACGGGGAAACCTGAGATTGCTGGGTGGAATACTTACTGGGCCCTAGGACTGCTGGTGGAATATTTACTGGGACCTGAGACTGCTGGGTGGAATACTTACTGGGACCTGAGACTGCTGGTGGAATAACTTACTGGGACCTGAGACTGTGGGTGGAATATTACTGTGACCGGGAGACTGCTGGGTGGAATACTTACGTGACCTGAGACTGCTGGGTGGAATACTTACTGTGACCTGAGACTGCTAGGGGAATACTTACTGTGACCTGAGACTGCTGGGTGGAATACTTACTGGGCCCTGGGGATGCTGGGGGGAATATTACGGGGCCTGAGACTGCTGGGTGGATACTTACTGTGGACCTGAGACTGCTGGTGGGAATACTTACTGTGACCTGAGACTGCTGGGTGGAATACTTACTGTGACCTGAGACTGCTGGGTGGAATACTTACTGGGACCTGAGACTGCTGGGTGGAATACTTACTGGGACCTGAGACTGCTGGTGGAAACTTACTGGGACCTGAGACTGCTGGGTGGAATACTTACGGGGACCTGAGACTGCTGGGTGGAAACTTACTGGGACCTGAGACTGCTGGGGGGAAATACTTACTGGGACCTGAGACTGCTGGGTGGAAATTACTTACTTGGGACCTGAGACTGATGGGTGGAATACTTACTGGGACCTGAGACTGCTGGGTGGAATACTTACTGGGACCTGAGACTGATGGGTGGAATACTTATGGGACCTGAGACTGCTGGGTGAATACTTACTGGGACCTGAGACTGCTGGGTGGAAATACTTACGGGGACCTGAGATGCTGGGTGGAATACTTACTGTGACCTGAGACTGCTGGGTGAATACTTACTGGGACCTGAGACTGCTGGGTGGAATACTTACTGGGACCTGAGACTGCTGGGTGGAATACTTACTGGGACCTGAGACTGCTGGGTGGAATACTTACTGGGACCTGAGACTGCGGGGTGGAATATTTTACTGGCTTGATGCGTTTAGTGAAGCAGTATCCTGGACAGTTGTAGTCTTGCTGACATAACACTGAAGTCCTTCTCCTGAATCAAGTAAAGAGTTTATGATAGTGAATGAGTCTACCTGAACCTGGAATCTACCTGAACCTGGAGTCTACCTGGACCTGGAGTCTACCTGGACCTGGAGTCTACCTGGACCTGGAGTCTACCTGGACCTGCATTTCTCCCTGGACCTGGAGTCTTAACCTGGACCTGGAGTCTACCTGGACCTGGAGTCTACCTGGACCTGGAGTCTACCTGGACCTGCAGTCTACCTGGACCTGGAGTCTACCTGGACCTGGAGTCTACCTGGACCTGGAGTCTACCTGGACCTGGAGTTTACCTGGGTCTGGAGTCTACCTGGACCTGGAGTCTACCTGGACCTGGAGTCTACCTGGACCTGTAGTCTACCTGGACCTGCAGTCTATCTGGAGGATATTCCGGGAGTCAACACTCCAGTGGCCCGGTTCATGACCAGGCCTCCCGGTGGATTAGGACCAGATCATTTAGGCTGTTACTGCTGGTCGCACGTAATGAAACGTACGAACCACAGCCTGCCTGATCAAGCACTGACTTTAGGCATCTGTCCAGCTCCCACGCGAGAGCAGCCGGGTGTTTATTGGTAATTCCCCTTATCCCTGGTGGGAAGCTGTTGAACAGTTTTGGGCCCCAGACACTTAGTGTTTTCTCTAAGGGTACAATGAGGGCCGCCCTTTTTATTGGAGTATATTGCACCACCTTGCCTAGTTTTTTTGCCTTCATAGGGAGTGAGTTTTATGTGCAGATTAAGGACCAGTCCCTCTAGGATTTTCCAGGTGTAAATTATGATGAATCTCTCTCGCCTGTACTCTAGTGAGTACATGTCAAGTTCTTCCCAGCATTCCCAGGGGTTTAAAAGGCATTTGACAAAACCCTACAGTCAGTTGTTATGTTTGTCATCTGGCTTGTGAGGTCAAAGGGAGCCAAACCAACCAGTGTAAATTGCAAAACCCCCGTTGCCTTGGAGGGAAGTGTTTAGAAATGTAGCCATAAGTCTTGAGCCATATGGCGCCAGGTGTCTTGCTACATTTCTCTGCACCCCTCAGACTCCGGGTTTTTGGGGGTTAAAAACCCCCCCCCATGGGGTGCATCCCAATGTCACCCAATGTTGATTTCCCCGAGTCACTAACCACTCCTAATGTCTCAATAAAAAAAAAAGATCGAGACTTACGGTGCCAGGTGTCTTGTACATTTCTTTAGCACTTACCTCCCAAAGGCAAAGGTGTAAAAATTTTACCTGTGTGGATGCAAAGAGAAGAAACCCTTTTTATTCGGAGCAGGTACAACCCTCATTAAAAGGCTACCCTCCCAACCAGCAAACCAGGTAGCAAAGGGATTTGTTTTTCAGTCCCCATCGCAAATCACCAAAATGGGTTCAGGAAATCATTTGTGGAACGGCAGTTGTGAAGGTGACGTGGACACCATCACATTCTCAAACTTGCTTTTCCCCCCGCTGCTGGTTGAACAGGGTTGTCCATTCTGCCTCCAGGCTGTGTCTTTGCCTTTGTTTAAACCATGTTTTACACATACATTTCCAAACTGTATATAGTGCCTACTTGAAATATTTATAATCGCACTTAAAGGGAAAATATAATTCAAAGTCTTTCAGCTGTGTTTCTTCCCTCCTTGCTCTCCCCTTTTACACCCAGGATAGTAGGCTTCTTTCCTGGGTTGTAATTGGGAGCCTGTCCGGGGCTGGACTTAAGCAGGATTAAGCTAGAGTTGAAGCTGAAGCGGGAACATTTTATAGCTTGTGTCGGCTTGTTTTTAGTTTTTGCCAACGCTTTCGAAATTTTACGTTCACCCTTGCGTTTTTCTTCTTTTGTCAGCCTGCTTTTGCAGTGTTACAGCATGCTATTCCCATGTTAATTGTCCTCGCTTCACTATGGTCAGTCTGCATTTGGCTTTGCTACGCTATCAGCCTTACTATTGTATGTGCGTTTCTCCATTTGGTTTTTATGTGTAGGCTTATCACGTGATATTTTGCAGTCGTACTGTGCAAGCGGTTGTATTCAAACAGCGTTTATGTTGGGGTATGCCGCCTAGACAAGTAGACGTCCATGCTGAAACACTTTAGAAAAATTTTCCAACTTTTTCTTACAGCCTTTTGGCAAATTGCTTTTCCATTGGCATTGATTATAAATGCACTCTCACATCTCAGCTTTCGTACTCTTATAATATCAAATTCGAGAAGAGGAGAGGGCACATCAAACCCCCCCTCTATGGAGCCAGGAATAAAACCCCAAAATTTTTCTGCGGGAGGATTATTATTATTAAAATTTAAAAAAAAAGCGCTAAGCCACAGGGTTTAACAGCTCTCGCAGGAGGAAAATGATACACACCTGAGCAAAACCCCCAGTTTCCGCGTGACAAGGTTGTCAAAGGTGAATCGTTTTTTTTCACTTGACTTGGCGAGAACGATCTTGAGAGACTGGGGAACAGCACTTATATGCCAGGGAAATTGATAGAAAAAAAAAGGAGGCAGTTTTTTTTCAAGTTGTAAAGACTTTATTTGCAAAAAGCAGTACAGCTGTTTCCCCCTTTCAATGAGACAGACCCGAAAAATTTTTCGAAACTTTTGAAAACAGGCTGAGCCTTGAGGTGGCCTGAACAGCATTGGGGGTCTTTTGGGGCATAAAACTTTTTTTTGGTTTAACACAGGAATTTACAGTGTTAAATGACACTGAGTTTTAGTAAATTTTCAAGTGGTGAAGGTACAGTTCTTGGAGTGTATCAAGTACCCTGCTAAGTAAGAAAAGATTCAAATTAGGCGCGAACTTGGTCAATCGTTGGGGGACTTTTTTTTTGACAGCAGACCAAAACTTTTTTCCAATTGGTATAAAGCAAGTGGTGTCACAACCTTGATGATTAATTCAATCACTTAATGGATAACCTGCTGGAGTCTGTGGACCAAGGTTGTCTTTCCAGGACCCCCGTCTTAACCACGCATTGGGGCAGCCGGTTGGCTGTACTTTTTAAAAACCCCCACTAATTGTCTGAGGGTCCCCTCTCTCTTTTCAACGCCCGGCATGACAGGATCTCAAATTGGAGGATAAGGCAGGGGAACGTCTACTCAGTAACAATCACTTGGGGAGCCATGCACTCAACTTATGGTCAAACCCGGTGACAACAAAAATGCTCAACATGGTGTATCTCACAAAAATAACCCAAGTGACACCAGTTACAAACGACGTCACGGGGGGGCTAATCAAGCCGGTCGTTTTTTTTTTTTTAAAAAATCAGGTCACATTCTCCAAAAATGCCCAAATAAACCCCAATCATTAGGGAAAAATTTTTAATGTCCCATACGCCCGAAAAAAAATAGAGAAAAAGGGTGGCCCATTTCTAGTAGAGTCCCTATATCCCTTTAGAAGACTCAAAGAAAAAAGAAAATCAGGACCTTTAGGGTACGGAGCAATTGCTCCTTATAAGAGAGGGAGTATTTCCCCCCCCCCTTTTTGAAAAACACTTCTTACAACCTCTGTTCTTTAGAAGCTTTTGGGGGAGCAATTTTTTTTTTGCCCCTTTCATAAAAAAATATATATAGATCGATATACATTTGGGAAATTTTACCCCAGGTGATCTGAGGGTTTCCTATGAAAGATGCCAAATTTAAAAAATTACCACTTCTAGGTGTCCTGAAATAATAATGATTAATTCTTCTCTGATGCTGGCCATAACTCGGGGAAAATCCCCGGATATCTGGGAAAGCTAACCTATACTTGGACGACTCTGTCTGGGAAAAGCCAATTTGTTTTATGAGGGAAACTGGCCAGACCCGTAAATTTTTTATTATAATCAAAAACAACGCAAAACAACAAGGGTTACACAGCGCTGCAAGGCAGGGGAAAGGAAAGGAGGGTGGGGGGGGATGATTGTAGGTTACAGAAAACAGCGGGGCAGGGATAGTGGGGGTAGAGGGTAGCAAGAGATTGAGGTAAAAGAGCTGAGGGGGGTGCAAAGGGGTTTTCATCAAGTTGTTTAAAATAAGTCAGTTGTTTTCAAAAAGTCAATGAGGGGAGCCTGGAGAAAGGGGAGTCATCACAAAAGGGAAAATAAAAGAGACCATAGAGTGAAGACGACGTTGGAGGGAAATCTGTGTGCTCGTTGATAGAGGGGCAGTCAACAGAATGTGGCTGACCGATACTGGAACCTGAAATTTCCCCAGAGAGGGCAGGGCGCCTCTCCATGGAAAAATCCCTGAGTAAGACGGTGTGGCCAATGCAAAGGCGTGAGAGAGTAGTCTCCCAACCCCGACCTGAGACAAGAAACGGCCATAACCTATACTCGGTCTAAAGAACGAAAATTTTTTTATTGAGCTAGCAGACCCAACGTTTTTGCCAATGGGTGAAAGGGGGGTAGCTATAACAGCAAAATAGTCCCTTTAAGGAACCCTCTATATAAATGGAAGGTCATGTACCCCCTTTACTGCACGGCAGTTCTGCCTGTTCATTGTCCGTACGTCAAATACCCGGGACCCAACAAAAAAAAAATATCTTTTTGTTTGGGAAGATACGGCTAACCCAAAATTGTATCGGGGAACAAGGGGTGATGGGATCAAATTTTTGATAGCCCGTAAAGTACTAAATGATGACACAGGCAAGGATGCAATAGGATAAGTGTAGCAAGAATGGCATACAATTCAGCAGCAAAAATGCTAGCCAAGACAATAAATGCCCCCCGCACGACGCTGTCCGGAAACATGCTGAAAACCCCAAAACTATCAAAGACTTAGAGCCATCTGTGTACACTGCGATGGCATGAGAGTGGGAATTTGGTCAGAAAAAGAGAGCGGAAAGCACCGTGGGGGTTGGGGTTTGAGCAAGGGAGTGAGAAAGAACAGACTTTAAAACTTTTAAATTCCCAGGGGGGGGAGGGAAAAGTGAGATGCTACATGAACAAGAAAAAATGGAACTGAAGGGAAACAAAGCGAATGTAGGAGAAGAGAAAGATTTAAATCGGGTTTAAAGTTAACTCGGTGGGGGACTCGATGTATGCACAAGGCT